ATTTCAGAAGATATGACAAATACAGAGACTGTTGCAAAATCAAATGTTAATTCTTAAAAGAAACCAAATTAAACCCAGTATAATTACAGCATAATGCCTGCATTATTATGGGTAGTTCTATAGAGGAATATGACTAAATATTTAAGTGCATTATTCCATTGGAAAAAACCCACATTTCAACCTAGACTTAAGAGTAGAAAAATACATGGCAAGAATGTGATGACTTTTTGCATTTTTAATGGTTTTAGCAAAATATAATAAAATTATAGAAAGCAGCTTCATGTCCAAACAAAATTATTTAAGAAACACCCCTCACTTTCATGAATACCTGATTAGAGACTTCATCGATCCTTTTAATCCTAGTGTTAGAAGGACACAAAAATAAATTCTAGATGTGAAAGGTCTGGCTATCCTTATTAGCACTCAATTTTCTATGTTTGTTCCCCCTTGAGGAATGCCACTCAGTGTAAGGACTGCAAAATCCCTTTCCTCCCTAAATCTTAAGAAATACTGTTAGACAAGGAAAGGTCTCTTTCTCTCACAGGGTAAGCATGCTGTAGAATCATAGAACCATTAAGGCTGGAAGAACCTCTAAGATCACAAAGTCCAGCTGTTTACGCAGCACTGTGTGGTAACCATAAGACCATATACCCACGTGCCACATCCACATGCTGTTTGAACACTTCCAGAGCTGGTGATTCCACCATTTACCTGGGCAACATGTTCCAATGCCTGACCAACCTTTTGGTGAAAACAATTTTCCTAATATACAACCTAAACCTCTCCTGGCAAAACTGGAGCCCATTTCTTCTTATCATTCATTACTTGGGAAAGAGACCAATCCCCAGCCCACTACAACCTCCTTTCAGGTTGCTCTAGGTCTCTCTGATAAGGTCTCCCCTGAGCCTTCTTTCCTCCAGGCTAAACACCCGCAGCTCCCACAACCACTCCTTGTAAGACTTGTGCTCTAACCCTTCCCCAGCTCTGTTGCCCTTCTTTGGAGTCACTCCCATGGTTCAGTATCTTTCCTGTAGTGAGTGGCCCAGAACTGATCCCAGGATTCGAGGCACAGCCTCACCAGTGCTGAGAACAGGGGGACAATCCCTGCCCTGGTCCTGCTGGCCACACCATTGCTGATCCAGGCCAGGATGCCATTGGCCTTCTTGGCCACCTGGGCACAGCTGGCCCATGCTCAGCTGCTGTTGACCAGCACCCTCAGGTCCTTTTTCCCTGGGCCACTTTCCAGCCACTCTTTCCCCAGCCTGTAGCACTGCCTGGGGTTGTTGTGACCAAGGGCAAGACCCAGCACCTGGCCTTATTGAACCTCACACCACTGGCCTCAGCCACTGGTCCAGCCTGTTCAGATCCCTCTGCAGAGCTTTCCAGCCCTCCAGCAGATCAACACTCCCACCTACCTTGGTGTCACCTGCAAACTGATTGAAGGTGCCCTGAATCCCCTTGTCCAGACCATTGATAAAGTTGTTAAACAGGCCTGACTCCAGTACTCAGCCTAGAAGAACACCACAAGTGACAGGTCACCAGCTGGATGCAGCACCTTTCACCACCTCTCCCTGGGCCTGGCCATCCAGATTTTTGCCCACCAAACAGCACCAGGCCAAACCATGAGCAGCCAGTTCTTTCCAGGAGAATGCAGTGAGAAATGGTGTCAAAGGCTTTACTAAGGTCCAGGTAGACTGTATTCACAGTCTTCTCTATTTGTTTTTATGACTCACTTTGGTTATGATATTTTTGTAACTACAATGACAATGAAAAAACGCATTACATGAAAGCT